GCCGTGGATTTCGATATTATTAATGGAAACAACAGGCGTCCCATTGTTGGCTTCCCGTACGGCTTCCCGATGAACGCCGGCGCCCGACACTCGGCCTACAATTCGTTGAACTAATAGACAGTCTTTTGGTGAGTATTTTGATCGGATTTTGTGTTTAGTTTTTGAGTTTTAATTGAGTTTTGGTTTTGTTTTTGCTTTTCAGTGAAAATTGTTTTTATATTTAGTTTTGGATTTCTTTTGCATTGAGTATTGGATTGAGTTTTTTGTTTTGAGAAATGAGTTTATATTTTGTGTTTAATTTAATTTGTTTTTCGGTTTATATTTGGATTTAAAATTCATAATAACTATTGTTTTTTTTCGGTGAAACACTAAAAGTATATTTAAAACTATATAACTATTATATAATTTGAGTTAAAATATTGATTTACTATTTATTAAATTAATTGAATATCTAATGAATGTTTGGCTAACAGTTTGAATAAAAATTTCTATTTTAATAATTCATTTGCGAGTTATTAGTAATTAAAACAAATAGGTTTTTATAAGTCATTTATAAAGCAACTAAAAGTATTATAACTTATTTTATTAAATAACAAAAATTAGTTAACTGTTTAAATCAAACACTTATCGATAATTTGTTGAGTGAAAAAATATGTTTTCAATTCTCATGTTATGATAACAAAACAGATTTAGTTTTGATGTGATTTTCCAATACGATTGACGTCTACAACACTACCATTACTATTGTATTACAGATTTACAACGATTACAAATTAGTGTCCAGTTCATCAAAACCTTTATAATCGTTTATTTAATTTAGTATAATATGATCAAAATGAATCAAGGTTGGACTGCCCCTTATGTACTAACAAATAAACAATGCACCAGTTTTGCGATAATAATACAGTACAATAATAGGGAATAACACTATGATTCACTACATTAGATAATATACAGTAATAGCAAATAACTTTTGTCACAATTGATTAAGTATTTTATAAATTTAAATTATTATAAATCTATTTATAATTTATTTTTGCGAATAATTGCCTATATTTTGACAGTTTTTGTATTTATATTATGAGCGCAAACACTTGAGGTGTGGTTTATGATTAGGCCGACCATTAAGTACTTGGGAACAGGTAATAATTAGCTGGTTATATAATTGTAGGTATACTCTGTATACTCCGATACACAAAGTTTACTAGAGTAGTTGTATAGAGATAACAGTGCACAATAGGAACCGGTATTTAGCACAGGGATGTCATGGTATATACCATACAAATTGATAGGAATTGCGGACAAATGTTTCAATTCTCACGATAAATGGAAAAATTATTGATAAAAAGCGATACATTTATTGGTATATAAACTGCTTATTAGTATTGGTTTGTGATATAAAAACAATTGTTTTTAAGTTTAGTTATATTCAGTGACTGTGTATCACATAATGAATACACGTATTCACGAATTGCTATTCATTTTGAGTTTAATTAGCGTTAGTTTCGCTGATTATCTGTCTTTAGATGGCAATCAATGGATGACTGTTTGTCAGAATAAATGTGAGTTTTAGTGAATATCCTGTAATTGACGGCAATTCTTATGATTTGGTTTGTTTTACTCTCTTTAATAGCCATCACATCGAAGGCTACAGTTCCCGGAACTATATATACCGACCTTCGGAACAACGGTCACCTCTCGGAGGAACTTCTCGCCGGCTATAATGACGTGAATTACCGGTGGGTCTCACGAGACAACTGGACGTATGGCCGAGAATTTGAAGGTTTTTGTCATACAATCGGTTATAATCTGTAAACGTATTAACAAAATGTCTTTGAATTGTCTATTGAATGGACAGTCGACGCGAAGCTACTGAACAAACAAGTGGTGAATCTGGTGGCCGAAGGGGTGGACACTGTGTCCGCCATTTATATCAATGACCAACTCGTGGGCCGTACTGTCAATCAGTTCGTGAGGTATAGGTTTGACGCGAAGAAAGCCCTC